ATATATATGACTAATAAACATACGAAAAATACTTAACTGCATTAGGCACCAGAGAAATGCAAACTAAACTCATGACATATCTCTACCCATGTATCAGAAAGGCTAAAAATAAGTTGAAGAGGCTGGAACTCAGACTGTTAGTGGGAATGTAAAGTAGTAAAAACTTTTGGGGAAATCATTTGGCCATTTCTTAAAAAGTTAAATCTATTCTTACTTAAAATTGCACTCAAATATTTACCCCAAAACTGTATGTGAGTATTTCCACCAGCTTTATCTATGTGCACGAGTCCCAAAAATATTATGTGAGGAAAATGACCTAGAAACAAGAGTGAAAGCTATGTATTTCCATTTATAGGAAACCCTGGAAAAGACAGATCTAATCTATAGTAACAAAACGGATCTACAGTTACATACTTCTGGGAAGCTTTGAGTGACTGGGAAGAGGCCCCACAAAACCATACCAGATGATAGAAATGCTCTAGATTAGGATCATGGTTGTACGCTTATAGTGGACTCAGTTTAATGTATGTTAATTTTATGTCAAAAGCTGGGTTTAAAAAAATAAACTAAGCTTTTAAAAAGGCTCTCAGTACATGAAAAAGGAGGGAGGCATACTTTTATCTGAAGAAGTCATGAGGGTACTGGAGCAAGACACACACAAGCACAGGAAAAGGGATGTGAGACAGTGTAAGCAAAAACACTGTATGCCCTGCTGCAGAGGGTTTCCCCATTCTCAAGGGCTGGAATTTTCTGTGTTGGCCTTGAAATTCCACACTCAGCTTACATATCCCAGTGTAGGATTTCCCAAGCCATTAAACAAAGATGAGGAGATGCCTATTTGATTTTCAGCAATTCCCCTGGGGCCGGCAGCCTGGTTTCCAGCTTTGCTCTCTGCTCCCTCCTGTACTGCAATCAACAACCAGTCTTCTCTTTTCTCAATCTGTCTGTTTGGCTTGCTTCCTGGACTTCCATGTTATTTCTGGACAACACCTTTCCATGTCCCCAACGGCTTGGTTTCTATACATTATCTGGCTTAATTTGAGATAGTCAAAGACTCAAGAAATGTTGAAAATGAATATCGCTCATTCTCTTTTCATCCATAATCTGAATCACACCCAGGTTTCAGTTGTCAAGAACTGGAAGCCCAGGTGCGGTAAAGAAAGCAATGTGATGCATCTAAAAATATTAAGGATAACGATAACAATGAAAATAGGGAAGGGGTTGTAGAAATAGAGGAAAGGAGATGAGCGAGGAGGCAAAGGGGATTAAAGAAGAACCAAGATGTGTTAACGACGTGTACCTACTCCCGAAAAGGCATGCAAACCTCAAGAACTGCAAACACATTCACTGTTGACAGAATAATTTTTTTAAAAAAGAAAGCAATGGGGGAGGTTATAGATATCCTGATTTTGAGTGAGGGAGGGAGCAATATCACAAATATCAGAGTTAATGCTAACGGCGAATTCTTCCTAAGTGCTCAGAGGAGAATTTATGTATGCTTATCAGCTGTATTTTATTTTCAAACATGCTTCAGATTGCCATTTCCCACGACTTTGTTTTTCATGCTCATTTGCTAATACACTAAAAGTTTAAACGTGGGAGATTTTATCTGTCTGAACAGGTAACTCCAGGGCAAATTGTCATATGCAACAAATGTCAGACACTACACACAACGTGGGCGACCATCCCATTAATCTCCGGCATAACAAGAAGTCTGCATGGTGTGACTATGGTAGAGACTGCAGAGAAAGAAGGATGTGTCAGGCTATTGAGGAGACATCCTTATCAAAGACGAAATACACATTTGAATTTCAGCAGGGCTACAGCCTGGTTAGACTCATCAGAGTCAGGAAAGGTCTGGGAAACCTCCTCCGTCATACCTAAATTATTTATTTATTTATTCTGGGGTACCGAGTATCGAACTCTGGTCCTTGCGCTTGCGAGGCAGGCTGCGGAACCACTGCGCTAAATCTCCGGCCCTATGCCTGGATACTTTAAGAGGGTCCTCATAGTTTGATATGTATCATATCTAAGTTGTGAAATTGAATCACACAGCTTGAAAAGGAAGAGCTTTAATTTTCCACTGGAGGGAAAATAGAAGCTGGCTTTTGTGGGTGTGCTTTCTTCTATTTCTGTCGTTGTTTGCAGGAGGGAACTTCCGATCCTCACTTCCTCAAACCTCTGACAAACTGTCACCTTTTGACCCCAAGGTGAATTGCATTGTTGAGGAGAGCTGTCTTCATTCCCCGTCCTGACCCGTCCCTCATGCTGCTGAGGCTCTTGCTGCTGCTCTGTGGTGAGTTGGACATCTGTGAATGGGCGATGGGACACCGTCACCCTGGGGCCACCTCCTGAAGAGCGAGGGGCACTGCTCAGGACTAAGCTTCAGTCTGGCAATGCTCAGGGATATTCAGGGTTTCTCAGAGCTGTACTTCCAGCCAAGTCAGGCAGAAAGTGGTAGACAGACTAACAGAAAGCCAGATATTTTAAGAAAAAAGGCACTTCACTTCTTGTCTCCTAGGGACGGCTCCCTCACTCTTCCTTTTCACTGTCAATTCTGGATTTATACTTAGTGTTTTTAACAGTCCCCTCCCATACAACAGATTGGACTCTCATTTCCTTGTTCTTCTTTTCTAACAACATCATGTCCCTCTATCCTTTGTGGAGTCCCCAGTCCTATTTTCAGACCTTAGAATTTATCAATCATTTGTTTTCAGCACCCTTCCCCACTCCATTAAATCTGTAGCTCACTATCTCCAGCCCTGCATTTCTAACATGTCTTCACCTCCGCAGGATGACTGTTCCATGATTAAGTGCTGTACTTTATGTGCTCACTCCTTGTAAGACTCAGCTTAGATTCTGCAATCCATCATCCACAGAGTTCCTTTCATTTCTCCTCCCCTGTTGGGCTGTCCTGATCAACACATTTTTCTGCCTGCTTTTACCTGTGTGGGAGCAGCCGGATGGGATTTTAAACAAAAGGCACATCCTTGTGGATTTGTCTCCATTTAACTTGGAGCCCCAATCTCAGCTGGCCGTCAGCACCGCCAGGCAAGTCTCCTATGCTTTTATAGTCCTGTTTTCCTACTCATGATGACTACTATGTCACACCTTTTCCTTTCTCCTCAAGCATATCTCTTTTTACTCTCAATTTATCATCTTGCTTCATATTTCATTGAAAATATGAGAGCAGCCAGAAGAAAATCCCTTCATATTTCTACTGCCAGATCTCCCAACTCACCTACCTATGTCTGCACTCATCCTCTGCCTGTTCTCCCAGCGCCCTAAATGCATTGTCCCTCATCCTGTAGAAGATAGGGCTCTCCACTTACATATTGCACAAAACCCTGTTTTCTCCAAAAATTTGTTCCATCATGAAAATATTTCTCCATTCTAGATTATTTCCATAAAGATACAAATATGCTATGATTTTTTTTTCAGGACTGGGGATTGAAGCCAAGGTCTTCACATTGAGCTACAACCCCAGCCCTTCTTTAATTTTGGCACAGCGTCTTGCTAAGTCACTAAATTGCCCAGTCTGGGTTCACACTTTTAATCTTCCTCCTGCCTCAGCCTCCCATAGTCCCCATAGTCTTGGGATTATAGGCATGTGCCACCCTGTCCAGCTTCCTATTAGTATCTTTAATTTTCAAATAATAGAAATGTGACCTGATCGTTGCTCTGTTCACTGCACCTTTACTGTCTCCCTCTACCAAGAGTTCAGTGAGTTAGTGTCCCTTCTTTCACTTCCTCCCATCCTTTCTTGATTTAAACTTCATCTTACGTTACATTAAAATTCACAGTTTTGAAACACTGATTTTTGCAGGGGTTTAGAGTCACGTGGCCCTCAGCACAATCAAAATACAGAACATTTCTAACACTTCAAACATCTCTGCATATTCTCCATCTTGTCATGGCCAGATCTTCTCCCATTCCTAACCCCTGGCAGCTACTAAATTACTCTGGGTCCCTGTCCTTCCTTCTTCTTTATTCTTTCTCAAACTCACTTCAGTCCACTTCTGCTCCTATGCGATGCTGAACCTGCTCCTTTGGACATAGCCCACCACCTCCACAAGGCAGCATCCACAGGTCACCTTCCACTTCCTTTTCATTTGGCCTCTTGGGGGCACTCGATGCCTTTGGCCACTCCTGGAACCAGGACCTCACATGGCTCGCAGAACAGTGGATCCTGGCAGTTCTCTTTCCAACTTACTACTGTACCTGCTGCACTTCAGTGTCTTTGCCAGATCCTTTACCGACTTCAAGGTGCTGACAGTTCCCCAAGTTGATACTTAGGCTTCTCTTCTTCCTCCATGCCACTTCCCCCAAGTCACATCATTGCTGTCACCTGATGTGCAACTTTAACTTTAAACTCAAGCTCATTTCTCCAGCTTTGATCTCCTCTTAGAACATTTTTTATATATTCAATGGTCATGCAGGTGTCTAATAGGCTACTTAAACACAATCAGAGATCCTGATCTTCCACCTCTATCCCTAATAGTACAAAACTTAACCTGTTTTTCTCTATAACTTCCACATTTCACTACCAAATGTTCTATATTTTGATCGCTGCCATTTTTCTGGCAGTTGTGGCCAAAACTTATAGGTAGGACTTAATTTCTCTCTCTCTCTTCCTCTTTCTTCTTCTCTTCCCCCTTCTTACCTCTTTTCCTTCTTTTTACTTTCTATCTAACCCATAAGGAATTTCTGTTGATTCTGCTCTAAAATTTTATGCTAAAATCTGACCACTTCCCATCATCAGTGCTGCTCAATCTGATCTATCATCGCCACTCTCCTGAATTCCCACTAATGTTAACCCTGCTTCTCTTGCACTTCTACAGCTTGTTTTCTTCAGTGTCAGAGGGATTTTATGAATGTAACTTAAGCCAGAACTGTCCACGGCCATGCATTACATCTGGAATGAAATCCACAACTGTTACCAACTCCACAAAGATGCCCAGGGCTGGTTTGTGTCTCCCTCTGCATGCCAGTGTCTACCTCTGTCCCCAACTTGCCAGCAGCAAACCCATTCTCCTTAGATGAACTCATTCCCCCTTAGGGTCTTCGCATTTGCTGTTATCTCTACCAGAGATGCTCCTTCTCCAATACTCAAAAAGCTTTCTACCTGATTTAATCTAGGTAGCAATTCCAATTTCTACTATTTTGGAATTTATCTAGACAGTCAAAACTATCTAAGACGCTGTAATTTAATTTTCTGCTTTAGCTGGACTCAGTGGCACACATCTATAATCCCAACACTAAAGGATACTGAAGAAGGAGGATCACAAGTTTGAGACCCCCCAGGACAACTTAGTGGGACCTTATCTCAAAATAAAAATAAATAAAAAGGGCCAAAGATGTAACTCAGTGGTAGAGTACCTCCAGGTTTGATCTCCAGCACAGTACTGAAAAAAAAGTGTACCGTACTTCACTTTTCTTGCAGCCCCAATTATTCTCTGAAATCATAATATATGTCTATTTTTAAATTGACTGTGTCGTTATAGTGTAAATTCCTTGATACCAAAGACTGATGCCCCTATTTACTTAGTGTTACACTGTACCATGCACAATGTCTGGCATGAGGTAAGCACTCAAAACTATTTGTGTATGGATGAACAAATAAAACACTATTTATGTCTGCTCCATTGATTCCCTCCTCCTAATCAAGAAAATCAATTGTTGATAGTATTTAACTGAAAAAAGTGGGCGTCTCAAGCTTACCGGGGATTGAACTCGGGTCCTCGCGCTTGCAAGGCAGGCCACCGAACCGCTGAGCTAAATCGCCAGCCCTCAGGCTGTACATAGTAAAGATAATAATGATAAAATATTTTTTGGATACTAAGCAATTCTTGGGCATAATTCTAAGCACTTTATGGCTAACAACTGATTTAATTCTCACAAAAGCTCTGCAAGCAGGTACTGATATCATCTCCATTTTACAGAAAAAGAAATAAAAGCAAAGAGGAAGAGTATTTTTTTCAAGGTCACACAGTTTGCAAGAGGAAGATTAAAGATTCACCTCTCTGACACTTTGTAACAAAGCCTGCATTTTCTCCAGAATTTTCCCTTCTTGACCATTATGCTATCCTATGGTCAAATGCTTGGGCTAGGAGAGAATCTTTGGAGAAACGTGCATTCCTTCTCTTAACCTCAACTTCCTCTGACCTAAAGCTGGTAAACCAAGGACCTGAGGCCTTGAGCACGAGCCCCTTACACACTTTGCCTGAAGCTGTTACTGTGAGTGAGGCTGTAAGTCCAGAGCTGGATCATTAAGACTTTTGAGAAGAGCAAGTGGATTGGAATAAGGGTCTTGATGAGAGACCAGCTGAGTCACTAAGAACAAAGGCACTAGCTCCTTATCACAGAGGACTAAAGCTATTGGAAGTCACTTTATGGTCATGAAAATAATCATATTTTGGGGTGGATGGTTCTATGGATATATGAAATGTGGGAAAAGGAACAGAGAAAGAAGGGAGGGAGGGAGGAAGGGGAAGAGGTAACAAAGGAGTGAAGAAGAGAGAAAGGAGGGAGGGAGAGGAAAGCAAAGGAGGGAAGGAGATGATGGCATGGGGACGGCATGGAAGAAGGACAGCACATTTCTGGAAAGGCCTTCTGGGGAGGAGTTCGACTTTGTGTGACTGTGGAACTTACCGCTCTGCCCTGACACCTGTTGATCTCTCTTCCAGCTCCACCCTGTGAACCTGCTGGTGAGTTTCACTTCCTGTTCTTCCTCAACCTGTGGGTATTTGTCACTCAGGTTGGCACGGGAAGCCTGTGGGTGACTAGGCAGCCCCTGCCAACCCAGGACACACCCAGTAACTATTGCTAAGGCGTACGGGCATCAGTAGCTCCCCAGGCCCTGGCTGCATGGACTTGTGTCTGCTCACTGGGTCTTACTCTGACCTCCAGTAATCTTATTTCTAGATTAGAGGGAGATTTGTGAAGGAATTTTCACAAAAACAAGCTCAAATCTGATATATGTGAGAATTGTTCTCTTGTGCACAAAATAGTAACCAACTACAGGGTTAAAAGTGACTATCTTGCCACCCCAAGAGCACAAGATCAGGAATTCCTATAGCCAGAGGAGTCAGAAACAACCTTCTGGATTCTTCATTTGGTGTTTGTGCAGCTGAGCCTTCTGTTCATGTCATGCCTGCCCTGTTCTCCTTCTCTTGTTTACTCCTAAGCCCGGATGCCCAATTCTAGCCTGAGGAGAAACTCAAAGCCACATAAAGTAAATACAATTTTCAGGTATTTTTCAGGTACTTTCTGCTGCCGCCGAGTTATCTGAAACAAACTGAACTGCAGGACTGAGCACCAGACTCTTGTAGTTAGCCAGTCTGGCTTCCTACGCTATCCCTTCCTGTTTCTTCTCAGGAGACTCCATGACAGGTGCCTGAGTGCATTTAAAGAAAAAATATTTCTGGGCCAGGGATTTAGCTCCTTGGTTCTGGCGACTGCCTTGCAAGTGCAAGGACCTGAGTTTGATGCCTGGTACCCCCCCAAAAAAAGAAAAAAAGAAAAACTATTTCTCTGCTTAGCTTCAAATCTGTGCTGCTCATCAGTTCTTCAGGAATCACAATTTTCCAAGGACAGAAAGTATTCATTATGTTATGTTCCAGGACAAAGAGAACAATTTAGCCACCATGGTTAGAACTGATGCTTAAAAAGACCCAGGGAAGAGCCTTCCAGGAGGAAGACTTGGAGATCACAGATATGGCACGAGGATTTGTTCCTCAGTGATCTAGAGCACTTGGCATTTTATCTGGTGAAAGGAAGAAAGAGGTTACTTCTAGGAAAATTGATAAAATTTTTCAATGTCAGAGGCTCTAAGTTTTGAATCAGCAAATACCCAAAGAGTCAGTGCTATCCGGGTTTCTAACATTTCATGGGCTGCTGCAACTATAAGGAGAGCTAGGCCTCAAAGGATACATCCCTGAGGCTTAAGATATGAAGTAAATTTACCTCTCATATACTGACTTCTACAGAAGTCTGTTCCACATCAAGACTGGGCTCTGCAGACTGTGGGTCCCAGGCATTTTTGGGCAAATGCACTCTTTCTTCTAATATAAACAGCAATAAAGGAGACAGGACGGTCAGCAAAAAGAGGATCAAGTCCCTCTGTGTTATCCCACACTGACTGACCCTCCAGACCCCACGCTATGTCTTTGAAAGAGATAGAATGGGTCTGATCTATCAGAGGGAAAAGCAACTGAAACAATTAAACTATATGGTTTACAAAAAGATGCAAAAAAGTATTAACTTTTACAAAATTTCAAGCTTCACCATCTCCAAAGCAACTCCAACAATCTCCTTTGATGTCCCTGTACTGACTTTAAGAAAGGGGTTTTAGCTGAAGGATACAAAAGTCAAACTATTTAATAACACCAAGGCCCAGGTAAAGGTTGCTTTCTAAAGTCAGTGCCACTCCACAGCGGCAGGATGTGCCAGGATGAGCAGGTTCATGGCAAAGGGAAGTCCATGGGCCACTTAGGGAAATGGATGGGTATTCAGTGAATCCAGCTACCAGAAAACACAAAATGCTTATTATCATGAACTTGGAAACTCCTTACCCTGAACTTTGTGTTTAATCTTCTCTAGAGCTGTTTCCACGTCCTATGCTGACAGCCAAACCCTTACAGCCCATGGAGGGGGACCAAATGACCTTGACCTGTGAGATGTGGTCCCCTCCTCAGAAGCCAGATGTCCAGATCCAGTTCTGCTTCTTCAGAGACGTGCAGATGCTTGGGTCAGGCTGCAAATCCTCCCCAGAGCTCCGAATCCCAGCTGTGTGGAGCAAAGACTCAGGGTCCTACTGGTGCCAGGCACAGATAGTGGCTTTTGGGCTCACAAAAACCAGCCTGATGTCTCAGATACATGTGCAGAGTGAGTGTCCGAGGGGCTGCTCTTCCAGAGTCAGCGCTACAGGGAGGAGGGTAGAACATTACCTACTGGCCCTCTTGGATGGTAGATGTAGAGAGCGAATTCCAGCTTTAAGATCAGCATTGCAAGAAAGGCTTTGTGGAAAATGGTGTAGAACAAAGTATTGGAGAAGGGCTTATGGAATGGCTTGATTTTGAAAGATAGAATGCAGAAGGTGTTTTATTGTTCTGAACTATCTTATTCCACGACAGAGCTGATACTTCTGACATCTTCTCCTGTGAAGACCCAATATTTAGGACTGCCAGAAGGCCAGATAGTCTCAGATTTGCTAAACACTCAATACTGGCAAAGCTGAATCCCTTGTCCACCAGTGCAAAAGCCTTGAACAGCTCACACACCAGGTGCTGCTATAGTGCTTCACAGATGTGGTTCCTCAAACCCCTTGACTGTAGGAAAAGACTAACATTACGTTCTCCATCTGTAGATGGGAAACAGTCTCAGAGAGTAATTTGATCAAGCACATGCAGCAAGTATGAGTTGGAATCAGCATTCATACCTAGACATTTTGATTTACCATTTAGACTTTAATCACTATACTACTGTGCCTTTACAATTAAAGCTTGAGAGTCAGGGGAATGGGAGCTATGTTGTCTTAGGGAAGAGGGTGATGCCATATTCTCCATGCTATAGTGAAGTTGTCTTTCTTATCCTGTGATCATCAATTCGACCAAATGATTCCAACTCAGAAGAACCCCACTCCCAACTTAGATTATATAAATCATTGACTTTTAGCAACTTTAGCTCTCAGGATGTGGCACTTATTCCTTGTCCCTGAAAATCTCCCTACTCATGGGCACTCTGTATTATCTTGTGCTCCTGCAGGAGTCCCTGTCTCTGATGTGAGCTTGGAGACCCACCCCCCAGGAGGACAGGTGAAGGAGGGAGACAAGCTGGTCCTAATCTGTTCAGTTGCTAGTGGCACCGGAAACATCACCTTCTTCTGGTACAGAGGTGCTCTGGGTTCAAACTTGGAAACAAAGACCCAGCAGTCACTGAGAGCAGAACTTGAGATCTCTTCAGTGCAGCAGGAGGATGCTGAACAATACTACTGCGCAGCAGACAATGGCCTAGGCCCCAGCCTCAGTGGGCTGATAAAAATCACTGTCAGAAGTAAGTTCCACTGCTCACAGTGTGGGCAGCACACCTCTTCCATATTGCCCAGGGCTACTTTGAGGAAGTCCAGTGTGGCTGGACTGTAGGTCTACTGCACCCTCAGAGACTCCTTTCTGATAGCTTGTTGTCTCCCCAGGTCCAGTGTCCCGCCCTATCCTTACCTTCAGGACCCCTGGGGCCCAGGCTGTGGCAGGGCATGTGGTAGAGCTTCACTGTGAGGCCGTGAGAGGCTCTCCTCCGATCCTGTACCGGCTTTATCATGAGGGTATCATCCTGGGGAACAGCTCGGCCCCCTCTGGAGGAGGAGTGTCTTTCAACCTCTCCCTGACTACAGAACATTCTGGAAACTACTCCTGTGAAGCTGATAATGGCCACCGTGCCCAGCGCAGTGAGGTTGTAACACTCAATGTTGCAGGTATATCTCAGACTATGTAACTGTCTTGGCGTCTTTCTCAGCTTCGTGCAAGAGGCTCGCTGACACAACAGTGCTTCTGGTGGGGTGCTACCGAAGATGGGACTTCTACACGTGATGCTGTTATGGGCGATATTTGTGAGGGGCATGGAAGACGGGGAGGGTTCAGTGCCTCTCTTCCTCATTGGTGTGATGAAGCTGTAGGTTCCTAGGTAAATAAGTAAGTTCCCATGCTAGAGTAAATGTTCTGAGCTAAACAGAAAATTACCCACCCTCTTCATTGCTCTTTTTATGTTCCAAATATCTCTCTAAATATTCATTATTCCTAATTTCAAATTCAAGACATGGTGTTCGCTTAATCCTGACTTAAATGAAGTCAGAGGATAGCAAAATTTGTTACCAATACCTCTACTCCAGCTATAATTTTCCCATTATTATGTTATAAAGTAATTCTGGGATTAGAAGCAACTCTTCTGGCATTTTACTAGGCTTGGTAATGAGTAATCCTACTGCTATTCTTGCTTGTCTTATTTTAGTATTTTGTATGGGTATTGAGAGTGAATTCATAGTAAGTGTTCTTGACAAAAAATTTTTCCCAAGTAAAGCAGAAAAGTACTGTAAATTCCTCCCAGGAAAGGCACACTCCGGGCACAACCCAGACTCAAGATGTCTGTTCTCCAGACTCCAATCCCTTCCTCATGACTCACACACAGGTCTCTCCCTTCAGTGTCTGTCGGGGAACGGAGTGATCACCTTACTTCAGGCATCAATGAACGGCTTCTTGGTGGCCTTGGTCCCATCATTTTTATGGCCTTGCCATTTGGCTACTGGCTCAAGAGAAAAATAGGTCAGTATTTATAGAGATTGATATTTTGTTACTGTAACCTTTGGTTTCACTGAAATAGACTGGCTTTGGGGTGTGTGTACTACAAAGGAAAAATATACGCTTTTAGCCATTTTATCTTTGGATCTGCTCTGTACCCCCTCTCCCAGATACTTATCAGATTTGTGCAATATTTTAGTAAAATTCTTTGTCACTCATGTGGCATCAGTTCAAGTTCAGATGATAGCTTATTTGCTGTGATTTCATTTTGGTGTAAAAACATAACCATTTCACACAGTCATGGGAAAACTGTTTAGCATCTCATCCTGACTATCTCTTAGTTCTGAAGTCAATCCATCAAGTCTTAGGGCAGTGGTGGCATCCACAGAGGGCTGCTTTTGTCATTGAAAGCTCCAAAAGGTTCATCATCACTGCCTCAGGGTATTGTCATGTGCCTTTTTTCCCCCCTGAAATGCTCATTCACACATGCACAACTTTTAATCTTTGCTTTTGACTCTTCAGCTGAAATGTCATTTTCTCCAGGTTGTCTCACCTGATCGCAGGGCTTGAAGATGTTCTCTTATTACGAATTCCAATGATTCTGCTTTCTACTTTATCCCAACTGGTGGTTCCCCATTGACTTGTATATTTAACCATGGTTTTCTGATTGCCACTGAATAAGTTGGAGATGGGGCCAAAAAGGACAATATGAAATTCTTATTTAAATTCCACACCTCACCAGCACCTTTGGGCACTCCTCTCTTGTCTAATGCATCTATGGCACCACATGCTCTGAAGAATTTTTGGCAGGTGTAGTTGCAAAACCCAAAACAAGTGTTCAATGATCTGGCTGAAGTCCTAGCTCTGGTACTTACCGCGTGCGGGAAGGTCTCTTTAACCAAGCCCTATGTCTCCTCATTCGTGACACGGAGGCTCTGTCACTGATGGCTGGGATGTCCTCTGGGCACACATTGATTCATACAGTGGACATGCTGGGCAAGGGCTCCGTGGAAGCACTAATAGGGACGGCTTCCTCACTAATGTGCACACTCATTTGCTTGACTTACAGGAAGACGCTCAGCTGGGGATCCCCTCAGGTGAGCTCTCTGCTTTCTCCATCTGTATCGATAATGCAGAAAAATCTTCTTTTAACATTTGAGTTGTCCTCTGTCCTGAGCTTTTATCCTGTCTTGTCATACCTAAAACACGTCTGAGTTCTCCTATTGGCAACTGTGAAAATTCACTTGCTATTTTTCTTCTTTTAGATTTCATGTAATAACTAATTACTTTAAAGCATTTCACTGTTTTCCCTATGAATCCCCCTTAACACAACTTCAGAATAAGAAAGTTTCATTGCAAGCTCAGAACATCTATTCATTCATTCAAGCAGTCAGTCAATATCTGGGGGTTTTAAATTTTTCTTTTGACTGCTGAGAGGTGAATATAGGGAAAGATCTTGAGAGTCTTAAAGTGCATCGGGGAAGATAAGATATATGCATATTCTTGTAATGCAAGACAGAATAATAAACATGCCAAAATTGTTGATGAAATTCTTTAGAAGCTTACAGCAATAAAATATTTAAAAATATTTCTATCTAGGGACGGCAATGTTGAGTTGATGTATTTTTCAGTGTTATTGTTTATACCAACAATAAACAGGTGTTTTTTTTTCCAAATCACTCTCAGTGATGGCGTGCATGAACATATTTTCTGCTATTTCTTTTTCAAGTTGTTTGCTCTAGTCAAGTACCTGTTTTCCATGTGTCTTTCTTTAGCATTTACTGAGCCCTTATGATGTGAATAGCCAGTGGTATAGCCGATGTTGCAGTGAACCAGCTGCTAAGGACTTATACTTATGGAAGAAGTACAGTACAGTAACTATGAAGCACTCCACACAGCATTTAT